ACCAACACACACTCACACAGTATTTGTACTCAGTATTTTCAAACACAAGCAACCTTGCACACGTATTGAGACAAAAACACATATTTTAAAGATGGATAAATGTTATTCAATGCACTAGATTAACACGCACACACACACACACACACACACACACACACACACACACACATACCTAACATTGGGTTCTCAGTACAGCCATGATTCACACTACTACACACACACTTAGAAGTGTGCGGATTTGATTGTTGAAAGGAGAAAAGAGGCTGATGGATTGAATTCACTTCAGAAACACAGACACACAAACACACTCTTTCTCACACACACACACACACACACACACACACACACACACACACACACACACACACAGGCCATTTCATTTTGTCTCATCTTAAGTGGATTTGGCTGTTGGTCAGTTCAGAGGAAGGTGAAACACAAACTGCTGTTGCATTCAATGACGGGTGACACCTAAAGACTGATGGAGGTACTGCACACAAACTACCTGCTCTCTTCAGACTGACAAGGTGTGTGTGTGTGTGTGTTAAAACACACATTTGACAAGCAGGAAACAGAACATATATGGTATTTTTGCTTAATATTAAGGAATTATCATCATTACAGTCTAATCTTCTGGTAAATTGACTGATCATATTTGTTGCAGCAGCATTAAAGCGCACATAGACACAGGAATCAAAAGACAAGCCGCAAAGACACATCCATTAAATCAACAAAAACGAACAATGTATGAGATAGTCTTTACCATAAGCCAACTGTATGAGACCCCTAAAAGAGTCCCAAAAAGAATATGATATGATGTGTATAATACATATTAAACTATGCCATTATTCAAAACATGCAGGTATCCCAGAGTGCTTTCAAATGAGGAAAAACATGAGGGAAAGTAAAGCATTAATTACAAAAGGTAAACTCCTTTTAGTAATGAAATAATGCTGGAAAAGAAAACTCAAAAGCACTAAAGATTCACATGACAACAGTGCAGTTTAACAGCCTGGCAGGTCAACCTAAACTTCAGCAGTAACTTTAACAAAAACCATAAGCCTAAATCTACCAGGTCTGCAACTATTATTCATTTAATTAATTGGGATTTTAAAATGTTGTTAGGTTTATAAAATGTCAAAAATAGCGCATTAAAGTCCAAAGACAAAAAGTGCTGCCGGCAAATATAGTCTCTGTCCGACTCACAGTTCAAAACACGAAGATATTCCGTTTACAATGATTAATAAAAGTACGCAAATCATCACATTTCAGGAGCCAGAACCAAGTATTTTGTGACTGATAAATACTTTTAACTGTCTCAATAGTTGTTGAAGAGTTTCTGTTAATCAATTATTCCATTTATTAACTAATTGCAGATGTGAAATGACGTCAGCTAGTTAACATTTGATTTGCAGATTAAGGCTTGAAACTTTTAAGTATATATTGTGGAGTTTATGTTGAGTTAGTGTTACTTAGGTATTTCAATAGAGGACATTTACTTTGATTTTAGACAATGCTATTACTACTAGTTAAGTAAAATATCTGAATATCTCACTGTGGTTTCAGCTTTAATGTCGTTATGAATAAGATAACAATGAATTAGCTTACTCGGGGTATATGCAGGAATCCTGAAGTCAAATTGAATACCTTTTAAGACCTTTTTTAAGACCCTTTCCATACATTTTAAGACCTCATCGCCACTTGGAGTTCTAACCGGTTACATTGGCGACACACTTTACCTCACATTTACTATATACAGTATTGATTGTCCTTCCTCCTTATCTTCCAACCATTTGCTGTATTTTTGGAACTTTAAGTATTTTGGAACTTTAAGTATTTTTGGAACTTTAAGTATTTTTGGAATTTACGGTATTTTTGGAACTTTAAGTATTGTTGGATCTTTAAGTATATTTGGAACTTTAAGTATATTTGGAACTTTAAGTATTTTTGGAATTAACGGTATTTTTGGAACTTTAAGTATTTTTGGAACTTTAAGTATATTTGGAACTTTAAGTATTTTTCGAATTAACGGTATTTTTGGAACTTTAAGTATTTTTGGATACTTTAAGTATTTTTGGATATTTAAGTATTTTGGAGGCTTTGGACCCTTTCCATACATTTGAAGACCTCATCGCCACTTCGAGTTCTAACCGGTTACATTGGCGACACACTTTAACCTCACATTGACTATATATAGTATTGATTGTCCTTCCTCCTTATCTTCCAACCATTTGGACGCAAACTTGCATTTCCCCATAACGATGTTGTTTAGCAACCGGCGTAAACGGACCTTCGCGCGCTATCAAGCAGTGAGCGTGCGATGTCCTGTTCAGATGACGTCAAATCCAACGGGATGCCATAAATAAACTACACAGAATCACACTACACACCTACGCAATGATTACATTCAGGCCAGACTGTAGAATACAACCTCTTTGGACAAGTTATATACTTATTGAAAACAAGCTACAGAATGTAAGACCTTGGGAAAATGCCGTTTAATACTTTTTAATAGCCTTCATTTTCACTAATTGATTTATCAACTTTTAATACTTTTTAAGACCCCGCGGACACCCGGTTACCTTTAATGATGTACAGCACTGCTTCGTGTGTCAGCAAAGAGCCTTCAGCAAACAATGCGTCTCCAAAAGACCTCAGGAAGGCATTTGTGAAAAAATAAGAACAAATTAGGGGACAATAAAATGCAAAATATGGTCTTTATTACTCGAGACAGTAAACCAGGTCAGTTTGCTATACTTGTATTAAACATATGCAATAATACAATATAAAAGATATTAGAAAAAGCTATTTTCTATAAGTTATATTTGATTTACAGAAAGTGTTGACTGTCTCTGGAAACACAATGTAAGCATTTTAGCTTTCAGATAAATCACTTATCAACCCAGAACGTGGAATTTCTAGCCACTTATTATTGGTACATAAAATCATTTAAAGTTGTATACACATGCATTGTTTACTGTCTCAGAAAATAGGAGTATTTATAAAAAAGTCGTACAATAAATAAAAACGTATTTGAACTCCCAATTTTCAGATGGATTACTAATAATAATCCAGTAAAGTTATACATTCCTAAAGTAAAGTTCCTAGTAAAGTTCCTTAAAATGAGCCAGCCACTTTTGGTATTTGAATATATTTTAAAGCAAATTACTTAACAATAATAATTGGATTTAAAGTGGGATTTTAAATACAGGACGTTTTTTAAACTCCTAACAGAGTATCTTTTGCACTACTTATAACCTTTATATATACAGTCTATGCTTATAACCCATCAATTATCTTTTATTGTTTACCTTTTATAGTCCAATGATTGATGGTGTGTCAGCAGTCATGTCCTGATACCAGTTATTAACAAAAACTTTAGAGAAAGTCCCTTTTCTGTTTATAAAGAAGTCAAATCCTCCACAGCTGGCAGCTTGTTTTGGTTTTGGGGAACTATTAGCATCCACTTCTTTAGCTAGCATGCTAACTAGCTTATAGCGAAAAGCGCGGGTGCAGGTGTATTTTGACAATAACAGCCAAGTATCACACTCCTCTTCGTATTTTCTTTGGCAAATTATTAAGTTACAACCTTAAAAAACAATTCCCATTTAACTTAAGCTATCAAATAAGCAGTTATGTTAGCTTTTTGCCGATAACGTTACTCTCATCTGAGCATCTGAGCACCGAGTGGCTTTATTAATAATCAGGTGAACCCTAAGCCCCGCCCCCTTAGTTACCGTTGTTATGCTTTCCCAACGCCTGCCAGTTACATGTATATATATATTTTTTAAACTTTATTCATCAAGAGTCTTTAACAAACCTTTATGGAGTCAATGGTGCAAATACAGTATTAACTAACTAACCAGAAATTATCTTCGAGTTGTTTGCTACACATACTGTATGTGTGACATGATTAGCTTAGCTTAGCATGACTAATTTGGGATAAGCGGAGAAATCGCTCGTTCTAAAGTCCAACAATACACCTATAAACAAACCTAATCCTGGACTAAACCTTAATAATTGACGTTGCTGCATTTTTATTTTGTATTATTACTCAAATTATAATGTAAAATATACACTTTTTCGTTCAACTGTGAGTAAAACTTTCCTATGTTAGCCTGATTATTTTCCAGAAATATGAGACATGTCATCAAGGATAGCTATTTCCCTGACTGTATTTATTTATACTGACTGTTAATGTGTGTGTTATGGGATCTAGAGAAACCTACAAAATGTACAACAACTTATCTTAATTTAACAACATGATCTGTTAGATGATATACTGTGATTTGAGGTTTGAAAAGCAAATTAACTTGCATAAAATCACATTTAATAACATTTAAAACTTCATTTTCTTTCAAAAAATAAATGTGTTTACAGAGAAAGACTTGAACGGTGCCTCCCTCTAGTGTTTGTATGTATACATTACACTTACTTGACAAAAGGTAATTAGGAGAATGACCACTAGATGTATTGCTAATATATTATGTGTATAAAGTGGCTGTTAAAAAGCACCTGGAGACAGAGGCAGACATATACAGACTTCCTTTTATTTACTTACTTTTCAGGATGATATTAGCATTCTTTCTGACACACGAGTACACATTTAAAATGACACAAATAATGACTCGATCACTCTGCGTTTACAGAGTTTAAATCTGTCTTTATTAATCCTCTGATGTGTCGTTTTAAAAAAAGCAACTCCAATACAACACAGCCAGCATTTCAATTCAGAATACAAATCTGTAAAAACACACACACACACATTGGAACAAATGCAAAAAACACACACCTTCATCGTGCAGCCTGGGGAGTCCGCCACACACACACAACCACACACACACACAACACACACACACACACACACACACACACAACACACAACACACACACACACACACACACACACACACACACACACACCACACACACACAACACACACACATACACACACACCACACACACACACACACACACACAACACACACCACACACACACACACTACACACACACACACACACACACACAACCCACACACACACACACACACACACACACACACACACACACACACACACACCTTAAATAGCAGCTGTTTTGCAGCACAGACACAAGCAAATACAAAAAACAATAAAAGGAAATAAAACAATTACAGAAACAGAAATTACTGATATAAAAAAAAAATGTACCTCACATGTTGAATTTACTCATTAAAAGGGCAATTTCACGGATAGAAACAATAATAATAATGGCAATAACATTAATATTGTGGTCTGTATTACTGGAAATTGTTAAAAGGTCATAATTATGGTCATATAGTTTCCTTTACTGGTATAAAACATGTCTAAATATTGGCTCAAAGTAGGTTTTCTAGAGTTGACTATCTCAGGATAACTTAATTTCAGCATTTCTAGGTCCTAAAAAGAGATTAAATTTAAACAAATAACGTAAAAGTCCCACAGAGGAATTAATATTTCAGTAAATACAAGAACATGTCAGAACAGCAGATACATTTAAATTCACATTTTGATGAGAAACAGCCGGAAAGCCAAACGGCAAATCCACATTCAACTGAGAGGAAAACTAAGAAACTAAATTCCCTTTTGAATCTACAGCTCCGATGGGCATGATATCAACATTTAAAGTACTCTGATTACTGGTTTAAACTCTATCTTGGCATACAATCATTTATTTTTAATTATTTAGTTGATAACATTTCATAAATAGTGATAATCAAGAGACCAGCCGTCCAAAAATCGGAAGATATTCAATTTACAATCATATAAACAAGAGAAATGTTCCATATGGTATTTTCTTTTAACACATCTTGTTGTTTATGTTTTAATTATAATATATGGACGAATAGATTCAGCGCTACATGTTTGCGATACATTTGTTAGTGGATTAATAGGCTGATTTGATTTAAAAGTAAGTTTGTTGCCATGTGGAGTTAATTTAGAGGGTGTGATGTCATCATAACGCTGTGATCGGCACAAGTACCAAATAACACTGAAAATGGGAATTAACTCCAAGATAAAAGTCACTTAGACACCCTGAAAGTCAATTAATAATTAAAAAAATGACAAAAATAAAACTTACATTTGTACAGTTAAGATAATTTCATTTAAATTCTGAATATGTTACTAAAATATTAAGTATTTTGTTGATATAATGGCAGAAAATAGTGAAAATCATACTTTCCCAGTGTCTTCAGATTGCCTTTTTGTCAGGAAAGCAAAATAATTGACATTAATATTACCTAGAGACATTTTAAAGTTATTTAGGCAGCCTGAAAGTCAATTAATATTAAAAAAATCCTCTCCTTTTCATGACAAAATAAACCTTAACATTGTATAGTTAAGATCATTAATTAAAATTCTGATGATGTTACTAAAAGTTGAAGTATTTCGTTGATAAAATGGTAATAAATAGTGAAAATCACAATTTCCCAGTGACTTTTGTCAGAAAAATCAAAAAGAATGTACAATAATATTACCTAGAGACATTTACCGTTATTTAAGCAGCCTAAAAGTTCAATTAATATTTTTAAAAATGTCCTTTTATGACAAAAATAAACCTAAAATGGCAGTTAAGATGATTTCACTTAAATGTTGATGATGTAACTAAAGTAGAGAGTATTAAACCGTAACAGTACAGGATGTCTTCAGCCATGTTTACTAAGCGTTTAGTCTCCACAGAGGAACCAGAGGGGGGTCTCACAAGCTCCGTCTTCTGCCCAGAAAGAGGCCTCTGAGGCTGGATGTCCTCTTCAGACGGTCGCCCCCCCGCTCACCTTCTCCACCGGAGCTTTGCTCTTCTTCTTCTTCTTCGCCGCCTTCTGCTCCTTCTTCTTCTTCAGGGACTTCTCTCCCTCCGAGCCGCCGTCTCCCCCCCTTCTTCTTCGTCTTCTTCTTCTTCTTGTCCTCTGCAATGGCCGCCTGGTCACCTTTCTTCTTCGCCGTCCACTCCTCGTTCAGACAGGCTGGGGGAGGGAGAAGTGAATCAGAAACAAGTAGGGAACACATCGAGGAATTTAACTTAGTGAAAGAAGATCAATTGTAAGAAAAACAACCAAAAAATGAGAACTATTACTAGAAAAGAATAGTATATATAAAATATATATATTAACATTTATATATGTATACCAAGGAGAGGGATAAGGGTAATTGGTCAAAGATATTCAGAGAAAAACATAAAA